CACTTTGTGGCACATGGAGGAGAAATTATTGAAATATTTGTAACGCTTTTTCAGTGTGGAAATGTTCCTTATCTGAAAGTGTTCCTGGTATACTCTTCAGGACATTGATTATTCTGTAAACATGATAAACTGATTGGCACGTACATGTACATGTGCAAACTACATGTACATGTACTTACAATGGTTCAATGCAGGCTTGGAATGGTTGTGGTCTTCAGTCATGTCAAGAGCTTTTACCTGATAAGCGTATGGAAACAGTGGAACTGATCAGTTGTCATGGTTGTATCTGACAGTAACACTCCATAACAGTCAAGAGAAGGAGAGATACCTGACCATGACCTGACACAGCAAAGGCTACATGTATATTGGATGCTGTACCTAACTTGGGCCAGCTAATGCCTCCTGTCCAACTGAGATTTACGTACTACACGTACAGTGACAACTTCAAGGCTGTTTTAACATGCCATCAACAAAATTATCAAAATACACGTACATGTACACCTATCGATATACCGTACATGTACCAGTACATATACATGTACATACATCTATGGTCTTTTTCTTTTCTTTTTTTGAGGGACCAAAGAGAAACACCTACAGAATGGAAAACTGTGAAGGGGTTATCCAGTAAACTGCAATTTGTGTCCTTTGTTACAATGTGAATATTGAAGCCCTGGCTAAACTTTGTATTTCGAATGTTTCACCTTTCGTGCATGCAAAATATAGTGATGTGTTAGCGGAATGTGTCAGAAGATGACATGTTGCTGACTGCATGATACAGAGATGCTGTACATTGTGAGCCATGTTTCCATTAGACTTTTTCTCCCACGGCCACACAGAAACTTATACTACCCTGACATTCCTTCTCGTCAGTCTACCGGGTATTCCCAGTTGGACTTTTTTAACCGTAATGTAACGTTTATTCGCTGTTGCCCTGTGCGAATCACCTATTTAACCGGAGCGGCATATGACAAAAAACAGAAAATCTGCCCCAAAATTAGCCAAATCTGCCATGATTCACGTGGCAGTCGAACAAGATCTACACTTGTACATCCGTGTACATGTATGTACATACGTGTACATGTTTGTACATGTGTAGCTTTCTCTGGGTACACTGCACTGTCTGTGCACGCCATATGTTGGTATGCTGTACACAAGAAGGCAGGGAACCATGCAACCATTTTCGCGCATCCACTGTGGATCTCTGTATGTGTAGTGGTGAGCTCTCCTGTTTATCTATACCGGTGGGTTACAGCATGGTCGCAGTAAATCTACATCAGCGGAACTGTGCTCATTGGATTTTTTTGGCACCCCTGCAGCCGATTTCACAAAACTTGTCTTATCTTGCAGCTCATCCCAGGACTCACGAAAAGTCCCAGCTAAAAGATCAATCTCAGCTAAGACGCATCTTAAGATCAATTTCACTAAATGCATCTTAAGCAAGACACATCAGAAATACAGTTAAATGAACTTCTATTTGTAGGACGAGGATGACCTTTTACCTACAACGGCTGTGTCGTGCGACTCAGCATATGCATGCAACAGCCATCAGACATGTACATGCATGCAGTGTATTTAAGATGTCTGATTGGCAGATGTTCCCAGTAAAAAATTTGTCTATGAAAACTCGTCTGCTAGCTGGAAAGCATGAAAGTATATACATATCTAAGGAAATTTGTCCATTTTGATTCAGTGCGGAGTGTGCAGTCTTACAAAACGGAGTGATTTCAAAGTTAAAAAGCAAGTTTATCGAGACACAAGTTTTAGGCTTAATCTCTCCGTAGCTGCTTTGGCTGTGGCCCAACATGAACGTGAAAAACGTAGAACCTACATGTAATGTTAGGCCAAGTGTTAGGCTTTGCAAACAAATATGGGACCAACATGCAGCAAGAACGAAGACGACAACATCAACCAAAGTGGGGGAAGGGCCAGTAATTGGTCTCATGAAGAAATAAATGTGTTGAGTAAATTTGTGACTGCCCACAAGGACCAACTTCTTGGGACAAGCAGCAAATCCTCAGCCAGTGTAGAGAAAATAAAAAATCCACTCCTGGAAACTGGCAGCACAAGTCTTGGTGGACAATGGAGGAATGGAGTGACCATGGAAGACAATAAGAAGAAAGTGGTGCACCGTTGCCGGTCAACCACAGTCCTACCGTAGAGAATGCAACGAATCAGGTAGGCCCTGAGCACATCTGCACAAACTATTTCCATTTATTATCAACAATATTACTTGTTAATCCTAAGCTCTAAGTTTCTATTTCTTATTGTACAGCTTGGCAATTGTCCTACACGTAGATTGTTCTTTTTGTGATGTGCATCTCCATCGCCAGCCCTGTGTCGTGATGCACTTTTGTCAGGGTGTGTGCCACACCTATGTGTTTCATAATATAAAGGACTGACCAAAAAAGTGGGAGGTTCTTATTGAAATTTATCGTAGATTGGCCCCCTCCCCAAACAAGTGAACATGGTAGTACACTGCCGTTTTGGATCCACTGTACTAGCAAATTCAGCATCTGGCCAAAAACGGATTCAAGGAGCAATGGGCTATTTTCACCATAGATCCAAATAAGGTAAAGGCCTGTCGTCCATTGTAGCATCAGCTTTGACTCTTGATTTTTCAACACTGAGCATGTGACGTTAAAATTACCAATTTGAAAATGTCTTCA